GTGTGTGTGTGTGTGTGTGTGTGTGTGTGTGTGTGTGTGTGTGTGTGTATAAGTATGTAAATCTCTTATAACTTTTGAATGGTTGAACCGATTTTATTGCAGTTGGTGCCATTCGAAAAGGCTTCACTAAACTTTGATTTCCTACAAATTTGAACCGATTTGGACCGGTAGATTTTGAGAAATTTGGAGAAATCTCCAAAAAAAATAGGAATAAATACAAAAAAATTTTTTTTCAGAAGTGGTTTTTTTGGAATAACTTTTAAACGGCTTTACCGATCGATTTCAAAAACTAATCAGCTCTCAACCTTAAAAAACCACGTCGATTGCCGCCAATCCGTTCAAAATCATTTGTTTCGTTCAAGAGATATCGTGAACGAAAAAAAACCGAAAAAAGTGTTTTTTCGGAATTACTCCGAAATTTATAGTTGAACCAATATAGTTAAAACTTAAGAATTTTTTATGTCCTAAAAAACTGCGTAGAATACCGCTAACCGCGTGAAAATCGGTTCATTCATTCAAAAGTTATTGCGATTTGAAAATTCAATAAATAGTGTTTTATCAAACCTCTATCAAACTTTTGAGCTCAAAAGCATACAAAAGCTATTTTTTTGAGCTTGGAGAGCTCAAAATAATACACAAATTGTACTTATGAGCTCGAAGAGCTCTAAAACGTCATAAGTGCAATTTCAAGCGTTTAGGTATAGAATTGGCGGGAAGTTGCAGGGATAGCCTTCAAGGTCAACCGTATTCCTAATTTTTTAAATAAAAATTAAATAAATTTACAATTTGATTACTGCTAAATGTTTTCTTTAATTAATATATTATAATTATGATATTGATTAATTAATATAAATATTATGAAAATAAAATAACCGAATAACGCAATTTTTATAAAAAAATATTCTGCGCAGGTTAAAATCTCCGGAACTATTTTTGCGCATGCGCAGGCGTTGTTCCAACCAACTGCGCATGCGCAGGAGTTGTTCCAACCAACTGCGCATGCGCAGGAGTTGTTCCAACCAACTGCGCATGCGCAGGAGTTGTTCCAACCAACTGCGCATGCGCAGGAGTTGTTTCAAGTTAATTAAGCTTGCGCAGTACCTTTTTATGGTCATAAAATGTAATTACTAGCCTCCAGTGCATCTAATTTGATGATTGATTGTAATTTAAGAAATTAATCATAAGAACCTTGATAATAACTGTTCTAATTCGTGAATTTAATGAGAATATGCGATGACCATTCAATTGTTTGACCTCACTCACCTTTTTTAATCACCAAGTCGTCATATAATCACTACAAAATCTGCTGGAGCCAAAATGGTGCGTAGTTCTCTGGTGTCTTTCCAGGCTGCGCACTGGCGGGAAAATTCGAAAAAATCATCAAGAGCGTTTAACCATAAATTATTTATTTTCTTTCTACAATATTAATATCAATTAATGAATACCATGATATAATACATAAATAAAAGAATTAAATCATAAAAATTATAAATATATCTTGCGCAAGCTTAATTAACTTGGAACAACTCCTGCGCATGCGCAGTTAGTAGGAACTATTTTTACGCATGCGCAAAAATGGTTCCGGAGATTTTAACCTGCGCAAAGCATTTTTTTATAGTAATTACATTATTCGGTGATTTTATTTTTACAATATTAATATAAATTAATCAATGTCATAATTATAATATATTAATTTAAGAAAAAAATCAGCAGCAGTCCAATCGTAAATTTATTCAATTTTTATTTAAAAAATTAGCGATTAGGAATCGACGAGGAGTAAAAAATATAGGGTAATAAAAAATGGTATCAATATTATTCATGGCCAAATGCAGTCATTTGGAAGTCATCCGAAAGCCACGTGCCGTTACACTGTGGATTGGTGTTACGAACTGCAATAGCAGTAAAATCGTGAAGGCGTAATGTTGTCCAGTAAAAGCTTGCTTCTTCTTCTTGTGGCCGTCCTTGGTTCCTCATGTAAGTTGCCAGTGATATTTCAATTAATCGTTATTATAATTAATTCATTCTTTCCATTGTTTCTTCATCAGGGATTTTCGATGGCGGTTCCAATGGAGTAGCTTATGCTTGCTGGTCGTCATCCGAAGTACCTCAAACGGAAGTAACATCAACAATTCAATGCCCTGGTAAAAAACAGGTGATTTATAAAATAAATCTAGAGTATGAAGAATTCACGCCGCTCACTGTTGGCATCTGGATCGGAGAAACATATTACCGGTTACCTATCGCACCTTACTACATAATCGAAATTAAAAACGGCATGGATCTGTCGACTTATCACATTTACAATGTATTCTACAGAGGAGAAACAGTTGCTATTCGTGATTGAGCATCAATGAGAGTAACTATGTAAGCACAATAAAGAAAAATTTTGTGAAAATTTGCAAAAAAACAAGTTTTTTAATCCAATATTGTCAGAAAGACTTCTTATATCGATCACGTTTGAGTTAAGATTTTGGAAACTTAAGAAAATTGAAAATCAACGCAAAGTGCGACCTAGAGATCGCCATCCCGAGTAAAATGAATACCCACATTAATATATTAAGTCCATGATTAATAGCAAATTAATTGATTAATATTTTATTAATCAATTAATCAAAAAATTGACCTGAGAGGTATCGAGTCGTGCAAGGTATCATTTTTCAGGAAATTTTCTCAGCTGTTCAATGAGCTTACTCAAATTGTTCTAAAAAATTCCTGAGTCCCTAAAATTGGGCTTTTTCTGTATTATGATTAATTTGCAGTAGAAAATTTTGAAAGAATCTAATAGAACATTAATGAATTGAAAAAGAAAATTAATGGCAAGGTATCGAGACGCGGTCTATATATTTATTTTTTTATAAAATAATCAAATTTATTCATTTTCACACAAAAGCTATAAGTCAGTTTTTGCGCCGTTAGGTAACTCAAGGTGACATTAATAAGTTTATTCATAGCTTCGATTCTCACGACAAGTTGTTAAATTCTCCATAAAGTTTGCGAGAAAAACAGACTTACTCTCCTATCGCGATCGATAATTTCAGTCATAAATTTTTATAGAATAGATATACTATGCATTTTATTTCAATCGGTGATTTTTGTCACTAATTATTATTTTTTATCGAACGTTCATTGCTTTGAAACCAATACATCCACATCTGTATAAAAATTTTCGAAAAAGCTCATTATCAATATTTGTGACCTTTAGATTAGAGATAACACTATCAATATCGAAATAAAACAATAGAATTTTATTTTTTGTACTTTTGACCTTCAACTTCTAAAGTATATAGAATTAAAAAAATTTTCGAATTTCAAAAATCGGAGCAGAGTGCGACCTAGAGATCGATCCCTAATTTCCCGATCTACATGACCTACGGCCAAGTGAACGTGTCCATCTCCGCGAACTTCAAGCGCTTCGCCTGTTCCGCAGAAGAACTGGAACTTCTGCGCAAGTTCCACTGGATCGTCTTCAAAGACATCCTGGAACTGATCAGGAACTTCATGGTTCTGCAGAACACAGACTCCGACCCAATAAATCCAGCAGATAACTACCTAGTAGTTCCTCTAAACGCTGACAATGAAATCGACTGGAACGTTGCGCAGAACTACGACAAGGTTGAGATGAAGCCCATTGAAATGGACGCGAACAACAGCCCAGACATCCAGGAACTTGACCTGGTGATCCCCAAATACCGCACCACCGAAAAAGCGTACATTGTTCTACAAGTTCGCGACGATATGAGTCCTAAAAACTTCTTCGCGAACAACAAGTTCGAGTCTTACATCGACTTTTATTTAGAAAAGTACAATGTCCAGATCGAGAATGTTAACCAGCGGCTTTTGGAGGTTAGAACCATTTCCAAGGACATTCATTTTATAAAGCCGAGAGTCTACAGCATGTCTGCGGAACCTAGCACCAAAAAGTACCAGAGAATTATTCATCTTATTCCGGAACTGTGTGCGAAGGTCAATTTCTCGTCGGTTTATTGGCTAAAAGCGCGTTGCTTGCCGTCAATTCTGCACCGCGTGAGGTACTTGAGTCTTGCGGAGGACTTCAGGGCCCAGGTGGCGCGCGAGGCCAAGATTGGAAGAGAGGAAATTGTGTTGTCAGCTGGGGATAAACAGTTCTTTGATCTACTTGAAAGTAGTCCACAGGTTAGCGAAGAAGAGGATATTGCTAACAAAATGGACGAACTGATGCCGCTTGAGAGCTATGATGATCTGGAACCGGTTACGCACATGCGCGAACCGGTTGATCTGGAACGACACATTGAAAATATTTCTGTGATGGATATTACTGATTTTCAGGTTAGTTAAAAATTTTAGTTAAAGTTTATAAAAAAAAATAATTTATTTGTCTAAATAAGTTTAAAATTGGAAATTGTTTTTTAAATTTAAATTTTCGCGGGAGAGCTACGTAGTATTATATCTGGTAGGCAACGCCATCTTACAGATAGTCATAAAAATATTTCTCGGTTTTTGGTGTCTTTAAATAAAATAAAAGGCCATTTGGCACCAGCCAAGATGGAAGGTAGATTTCATGTAATCCATGATTTTAATTACGATATTATGAATAATTATTATTCCTCAAGTTTATCAGAAAAGTAAATCGGCTGCCAAATTTTAAAATACAGTGATTTATTAGATTTTCGAAAATTTCAAATGGCTGCCATTTCTAAACTATTTGAGGGATTTAGCTCATTTTTGAACTCATCCAAGCTAATTGTATATAGAATAAGTCTACCAAATTTCATAAAGATTCATTAAGAATTCTGGGAGTAATCGTGTTCACAAGTCGCGTTGTGTTGTGTGCTTGTCTGAAACTGATTCAGATGACATTCAGCTTCTTAAACTTTTGGAGTAATTGATGAAAAGTAAATTTGTTATAGGTTAAATTAAAAAGAATTTCATAAGCTTTGAAACGAAATGCAGAAAAACGATCTATCATTTCTCAATAAAAAGTTATTCCCTAGTAAAGTCACCGAACATGTGATTTATTAGATTTTCGAAAATTTCTGGCTGCCATTTCTAAATTATTTGAGGGATTTAGCTCATTTTTGAACTCATCCAAGCTAATTGAATATAGAATAGTCTACCAAATTTCATAAAGATTCATTAAGAATTGTGGGAGTAATCGTGTCCACAAGTCGCATTGTGTTGTGTGCTTGTCTGAAACTGATTCAAATGACATTCAGCTTCTTAAACTTTTAGAGTAATTGATGAAAAGTAAATTTGTTATAAGTTAAATTAAAGAGAATTTCATAAGCTATGAAACAAAATGCAGAAAAACGATCCATCATTTCTCAATAAAAAGTTATTCCCTAGTAAAGTCACCAAACATGTGATTTATTAGATTTTCGAAAATTTCTGGCTGCCATTTCTAAATTATTTGAGGGATTTAGCTCATTTTTGAACTCATCCAAGCTAATTGAATATAGAATAAGTCTACCAAATTTCATAAAGAGTCATTAAGAATTCTGGGAGTAATCGTATCCACAAGTCGCGTTGTGTTGTGTGCTTGTCTGAAACTGATTCAGATGACATTCAGCTTCTTAAACTTTTGGAGTAATTGATGAAAAGTAAATTTGTTATAGGTTAAATCAAAGAGAATTTCATAAGCTTTAAAACGAAATGCAGAAAAACGATCTATCATTTCTCAATAAAAAGTTATTCCCTAGTAAAGTCACCAAACATGTGATTTATTAGATTTTCGAAAATTTCTGGCTGCCATTTCTAAATTATTTGAGGGATTTAGCTCATTTTTGAACTCATCCAAGCTAATTGAATATAGAATAAGTCTACCAAATTTCATAAAGATTCATTAAGAATTCTGGGAGTAATCGTATCCACAAGTCGCGTTGTGTTGTGTGCTTGTCTGAAACTGATTCAGATGACATTCAGCTTCTTAAACTTTTGGAGTAATTGATGAAAAGTAAATTTGTTATAGGTTAAATTAAAGAAAATTTCATAAGCTTTGAAACGAAATGCAGAAAAACGATCTATCATTTCTCAATAAAAAGTTATTCCCTAGTAAAGTCACCAAACATGTGATTTATTAGATTTTCGAAAATTTCTGGCTGCCATTTCTAAATTATTTGAGGGATTTAGCTCATTTTTGAACTCATCCAAGCTAATTGAATATAGAATAGTCTACCAAATTTCATAAAGATTCATTAAGAATTCTGAAAGTAATCGTGTCCACAAGTCGCGTTGTGTTGTGTGCTTGTCTGAAACTGATTCAGATGACATTCAGCTTACCAAACAGACAGGTTATTTGTTGTTTTTTAAAGGCGACATTAATCGGATTTTTGTATTTATTTTAGATTATTTTGCATTTAAGGAGGTCCTTTCGCCGCCAATGTAAAATAAAAAATATTAGATTATGAGTAAATTCAATTTTTTTCTAATAGTTAAGGTCCTTATTTATCTAATAGTGAGGTTTAAATTATACTTTACCGGACAAATTTTTGAAAAAATAAAATTTTTAAATGCTATTATTTGTTCAGAGTCTTATGAGAAATTCAGACGTTTGCAGTATTTCTCGAATTATACTATCAGTCATGGATTAGATGAAGTAAAAAAAAACTAAAAATTAGATTTTCAAAATATTCAGGTTTCTTTTTTTGCAATAAAATATATCAGTTACCAAGATATTTATTGAGAAATTAATATTTAAAAATCACAAAAAATTCTCAAGTAACCTACGTTAAAATGGAGTCAAAACATTTGGCAACGTTGCGTAGCGCGCGAGCTTCAGACCATTCAATAAATTCAAACTAATTTATTTATTTACACTGACTGCAAAAACTTAAACGTGGTTAAGGTTATATTGTGCAAATGAAAATGTAAACAACCGAAGTACAGCGTTGCCAAATCACGGACAGGTTACTAGCAGTTGATTTGAAAGAGTCAAATTAATTTTTGTATTTAACTATTTTTTTTTTTTTATTTTCAAAATTTCAACGATTAATGCCTCATATACTATTTATTATTTAATTTTAGGAATTTTTATGGGCTTCTTTTTTTAATTTATCGTATATTGACTACTACAATTGTTTTGACTCAACTGGAGCGAAAGGATTTCCTCAAAAAAAATATCTGTTGCATTTCTTGAGAGTATTTATTTCGTTAGGTTAAGTTTTGAATAGGAAACTTGGATCAATTTTTTTAACCAAAAATTAATATAAAATTGAAAGAATAATTAAGTTGCACTTTTTTTTTTTAAAGTTTAATGAAAGTTATTATGAAAATAAAGAAAAAATATGTAATTTATTTGTCTAGGAAATTTTTAAATTGGAAATTATTTTTTAAATTTGAATTTTCGCGGGAGAGTGACGTAGTATCATATCCGGTGCGCAACGCCATCTTTCGGATAGTTAAAAAAATATTTCTAAGTTTTTGGTATCTTGTGAAGAAATAAATAAACGGATGGCATAATATAGGTTAGATTTGTCGGTTAAATAAATTAATAAATGAAGAAATAATATTTTACAAAGTGTAAAATGCTGAAAGAGCGGAAAAACTAAGGATCAGGTTTCGGTCTGGTTATCTCAATTAAAATACAAAAATTATTAACAAAAATAACACTAGATATTTATTAACAATAAATACACTAAATATTTAACTAGTTCAATAGCGGATTGGTTAAATAAAAGCGGATATGTAATACACAGCGTGGTTAGCAAAAGCGAAGCCGGTTAGCACGTGGTTGAATAAACTGCCGGCACTGAAAAAAGCGGTAATTATTGTACAAATAATTGTAAGTTATCTAAAATAGACTAAAGCGAATTATTAGCAAATTAATTAAGCAAAGAAAATTATTTAAAGGCGAAAAAGCGGTTAATTTAGAAAGCGAAATTTATGTATGCGAAAATGCGACTTGACAAGCGGGAAGATGGATGCGAAAAGATAATAATAATAATTCGTCTTCTTCCTCGTCTTGGAGAAGAAGGCTACTGCGCATGTCTAACGAGAGCGATAGCCAATCAATAAATTCGTTCTATTGATGTCGACATCGATAGCCAATGGTAAAATTCGATACCTGTGGCGTGATCAGTCAGGCGGTTTACGCATGCGGGTGAGAAATAGCGGGAACGATGGCTTGTCAGGTGCGTGTTGTAAATTTCGGGAGTTCACAGTGACGTATTGCTCATTGAGTGGGCCTGTTCACTGAACACAAAGAATAAAAAATTATTTTAATGAATTATTTTAAAATAAAAAATTTATTTTTTTTTTAGGACTACACACATAGAATTTTAGTAAAGGCAAATTTCGTAAGAAAACTTGCGCACGTTGCAGAATTTTCAAAGCGCGCTGATGTAAAAGCGCCCCCTCTCAGAGTTCTGCAGGCTTCAAGCCTCAACACGCCACCGAACGCCTCCGAGATTTTGTGCGCACTAACCCCAAAATTCGCAAACGATGCATTTAATTTTGAACGTCTTGAGACTTTAGGAGATTCGTTCCTCAAGTTCCTGAGCTCGATTTTCCTGTTCGAGAAGTTCCCTCATAAAACTGAAGGCTACTTAACCACATACAAGGGCTCTATGGTCAGCAATCGCCATTTGTTTTATTGCGGGGAGAACAAGAAGCTTCCGTCATTTATCAACGCTCTAGACTTTGTTCCGACGATTAATTTCTCTATTCCTGCATGTGCGCCTCCTACTGAGGTAATGTATTTTTTTTATATTATTATTATTATTAATTTTTAAATCAAATACTAAATAATTATCAATTCACTATATAAATGGCTATAACTTTTAAAATATCGATGTTAAGAAAAATTTTCAAGAGAAAAATTGTAGCTTAGGAAATTTCCTATTAAAAATGTTTTTGTACTATAGGTCTATCTTCAATATTTTAGGAGATATAGTCTTTTAATATTTCCTATAAAATGAAAAATGAAAAAATATCTTAATCATCATTAAGTGACTATAAAAATAGCTTTAACTTCTAGAATATTAATATAAGAGAAAAAAATTCGATTACACGATAATTGATCCCTTTCATTTTTATCCCACCGACAACTGATCCCGTTAACTTTTTTTTTTAATGGTAACGGTCGCTTATTTATCGAGGTAAAATTTCTTAAGGTAAGGTAAATGCACCAATTGTTGACCGGTCACCAATTAGTTGACCGATGTATAAAAAAGTTAATTAATTAATATTTTACAAGGGTTTTTTTTTTCTTAAAGTATTAAAATAAAAAAAATATGGCATTTAATCATCATAATAAAAAATTACGCAATTAATTGCGCAGTGATTATAGCTTTAAAAAAATATTCTGAGTTTGTTTACAACGCAACCAGCCATAAAGCGGTCAAAAATAACTAGCGTACAATTGGAGAGTGAGTGCATTTCATCATTAATTTAGTGATATTTCTCGGCATAATATAAAATATTTTAGTTTTATTATGTTAATTAAAGATCAGATTCCAACTTTTTTGAAAAAATAAAGTTATGTTATAAGTTTTAATATTATTTTAAAACCGGTCAACTATTGGATCCGTCAGAAGGCCTTTACCCAGTAAAAAATTCATTCGGTCATTTATTAGACCCTCTGATTTTATCACAATCCAATTAATGACCGTATAATTATAATACTAACTTCTTAACTCTAAAATTAAATCTGTCAAGTGTTTAAAGTACTTTAGTCATTCAATATTTTGTAAATATAAAAATAATCATTATAAAATGTATATTTATAATTGAAATAATACTTGAAATCTTTTTTGATTATTAAATTTTATTTTGTTCTAATTTTTTTAGTGAACGGTTATATCAAAGAACGAATTATTAAAAGAAAAAATTGCTAAGCAATTAAAAAAATAAAAAAGAGTTACAAGCTAGTAAAAAAGCTTTAATTGAAAAAAAGAAGGAGAAGAATAAAAAAATTTCAAGTTAATCAGAAGAATTATCGTGATCAAAATGAATTGTGATTATTTGTGACCTAAAGAAATAGTGACTTTATGTTAATTATTGTTATTATTTATATTATTTTATAAAAAA